AGGATTTTGTTAAAACGGAAGTTTTGTTCTCCAACCTTTATTTACCTGTCGAATTTGCAATGTTTTTTTTATTATTTTCATAATTGATATTGTGTTATCTATAACACCGATGATTATTTACGAGTGAAAAACAATTTATGCCGTTAATCGAAGGTTTTTTTTCTATCACAGTTTGGGTAACCGAACTCTATGGAAATACTACTGAACGGACCAGGTTCAAGTTTTTTTTTCCAGTGATAAGGAGTGATTTTTCTAATATGATCTTATACATTATCTGTTACAAAAATGTCTTCAAATATTGCAAGTTTCTAGGGTGAATTCAACTATTTTCTTATCTTTTGAATCCATGTTCAGTACACGTTTCTTGTATTATCTCAACTTTTATCTGAACCTTTAAATCCCAAGTTCTCTGTTGGTCAACTATAATCACGAAAGATCGAAAAACGTTACAGGTACAATAATCAGATTTTATCAATTATGGCATAAATTGACTTATGGTTGTTAGGTCGTTCATCGAATATATGTTTCTATTTTATAGAAAAAAACATTGTACTATATTCCTCCTCGGCGAGGGACGTTTGCGCTTTTTCATAGAATATTGGCGCTTTTTTTATGGACATTTGCGCTTCAATTTATAGGACATTTGCGCTTTTAAAAAAAGGACATGTGCACTTTTTATATAGGACATTTGCGCTTTTACAATATTTGCCTCTTTATTCGGGTTTAAGACCGGCAGGTTTGACTTGGCAGATTTAAAGTCCTAATTTTCTCTATGGTTAAAAGTATAATAGTCATTTCATATCACATTCATTTCATAGAACATTGATATATTTATATATAACTAAAAGTAAACATTCTAAAGACATAAAAGACACGTATAGTCATCACACGTCAGGTCAGTTTTCGCTTGATATCAGAAGCCCAAGGAATGAACAACTTTAGCTCTTGTAATCAGTCCTTACTGGTATTTCGTCCATATTTCAAATAAATATTCTAGTTTCTCTTTCTCAATTCTTGAATGAGGTGATTTTTCATCAATATAACGAATTTTAATGTAATTAACGACTGTTGTTCAATGATAGAAATCCATCGTGACAAATACTTTTCCCCCCTTTTCAGTCTCTATAACTTTAAACTCGATGTTTAAGACTGTGTCAATTTGAACTAACTAACGACAAATATAAGTTGTATTTATGTTCGTAATGATTGCAACTCATTAAAATTACAGTAGACGACTATAGGTAAAAAGCGCAAATGTCCTGTTAATTTAATACAGGTGTATCAACATTTAAAGAGCAAATGTCCTATCGTGTTACAGGCAAAAAAGCGCAAACATCCTGTGTCCTTCCTCCTACCCAAGTAATTTCTAATACGTTTCATAAAAAAAGACTCTTCATTACGATTGAGTCTTACGTTCGACATTTACTGTCTTGCCTTTAACCTTCTGAAATTGTCTGTACAAGTGGTATACCTTCTGTGCAGACAGCCATATCATAAAAGAAAATGCAATCAGATGTAACCAAATTTTTTTTTTCATAGTTTAACAAATGACAGTTGTTTTTTTATTGAATTCTCTGTTTTTGTTTTAATTTGTATCTGCTGGCAACAACTACACATGGCTATAAAGTTTCTTTGTTAATATTAAATAATGACAGTTTATTAAGGTAAATTGACATACAGTCTGATGATATCGTACTAACGATGAACAGTATTGTTGTCTTTATCGATATAACTCAACCTCATCTGACTGTAGTACACCCACTTCCAGGATCAGTTGGGAATATTGAACAGTTTGATGTGAAAAGAGTGTAATATTTGGAATCTTGTTTTTCGGTTTATTTCTGATTTTATCTTCATATGAAAGGTTGTTCATAACAGATTGGTCACACTTCATTTTAAGGTTAAGTTTAGTATCATTTATCAGTGTGAGAAACGTAGATATTTCCCCCTCGAATGCGGTCCAAATTTGTCAAATGAGCAACACGATGGGTGTCACATGTGAAAATAAATTTAAAAGAATAAATTTCGTTAAAAACCTCTTACCAATATTTTTAACATAATCTTATTTAATCAGCAGTCAAAAGCGCTCTGCCACTACCTGCTCTATGGGTGGAGTGAATCAGATGTGAATCCTGAAACAATCGAAAGATTTATTGGAGTTTGTTAAATCGAGGTCTCTTGTCTGTTGCACGGTATTACAAAATCGACTTCTCTACCCTTATACTGACTACCATCCATCACACTACAATGAAGGAATTGGTTCAACTTCTTTAGTTCTTTAGAACAAGTGGCCACCGTAGACATAAGTATCTTGTTTTGGTTAGAGACAAAGCTAACATTGTGAGAGAGAAAAAAACAATCTGATTCTAACAAAAAGTACACTGAAACTGACATTTTCAAAATGCTGGACTTTTTGAGCGACAACACTTTGTTTTTTCATATTTGGTGGTCGTGTTTTTCTATTCCTATATACGTATGGGACAGAATTTATGCAAGGGGTCAATCAGGAATAAATAGCTGTATCCTTTAATTTCATCTTCCGCTATATAGATAACTTTACACAATGTGCAGATTGGTGATTTTTTTATATCGTTTCTATCCCAGGTGAACTTGAAATTAAGGATACCACAGACACACTAAAGTTTGTTACATATCTTGACCTTTACATTGAAATTGACGATTAACATCGATGAGATTAAAATTGTACGTACGACAAACGAGATGACTTCAGCTTTCTAGTTGTAAAATTCCCGTTTTTGGTTTGAAACATTCCAACAGCCCTGCTTAAGGAGTTTATCTATCTCTAATAATACGGTATTCCAGGGCCTGTATAGCCTATCAGGATTTTTTTGATAGAGGCTTGCTGCTGACGAGAAAAGTCATGTAATTCAAATGCATATTTTTGATAGAAAGATTAAAGTCCTCACTTTGAAAGTTTACGGTCGTCTTATTAAATTCGCAAATCACTGACTACTAAGTATTCACTGTCTAAACTGCTTTTTATCCCTGTAACCTTGTTTGTGACACTAACCAAACTTTGACAGTTACATGAACACCACGTTTGCAATTCGTGTATCAGGAACTGATTACCATTCTGAAGAACCTAAGTTCATCCCAGGATTTTGGGGGTTGGTCTTGTTCATGTTCATCATTCTGGGTTTGTTTGCTGATTTTAAAATATTTGTCTTTGTCGCTTTCTTATTTCGACAACTTCACGTGTGTTTTAGAAGTCGAAATTTGAGACTGTGCATTTCTTTATGTTTGGTCCATATAATGAAAAGCTTCAAACATCAGTTTTCGAGTCGATAACAAATTTTCAATCGTTATGTTATTTCTGTAACATTATTTAACATCCCAAAAAAATCAGCATTTTCTAGCTTTAATCGGAAAAGCTTCGATATGTAGTTTTTACCGTTATTGGAAATAAAAATAGATGTGTTTATCGTGTTTTTCTATATTTATATTCAGGGCGAAAAAGTAATTATAATTTTGTCTTATAAATTCTAAACTAAAATATGTGTGAAACAATTAATCACGTATCAATGTAATATCATACGCTGCAATTTCAAGCTTACATATTTAGAAAACGATATGTGTTTGGTGCCTACATACTGTGTACAAAATGTTCCTCTCGACGAGCTCTACATTTTACACATTAAGCTCAAAAGTGTCCGACCGTCTGTTCAACAGTTACAACGAGATAATTCTTAAAAGTATAGTATTGTGTGTTTTAAAGGTAACAGATATCAACCTACTATAAATTGCAAAAATGATCAGTATTTAAAGACCTTTAATCTGAGGTCAACGTCAGGTCATGATAACATTTTACCTTGACCTTCAAAGTGTACTATGACCTTGACCTTGTGATATTTGAAAGGTCAAGTTTTTATCTTGAGTTGAATGGTGGTAGTCCCATGTCTCTACGACTTCCGGTTGTCAAGTTTGGTATTGCATCATATATTTGATGATTCATTGTGACCTTGATGAACTTTGGAATTGTCCCAAATTTTTTTACAATGCTGTCCTTCAACTGCAGATCATTTATCAATTAACAGATTTGAGATATCTATTGTCGTTTTAGAGATAATGCAGTTTGAAATTTTGCGAGCGGAGGCATGTATTTCTAAATCAACAACGGCTTTCCACCTGAAATTTTCAGAAATTGAAGAGTTTAACATGGTTATATGTTTGACTAATTACCAAAAACTTTCAATGAAAAGCTAAAAAAAAAATCAATTTGAAATTTTCATCTTTTACATTGACTTTGTAAGTTTCATAAGTTCTATTTATATAATTGATATTGCGTCATTTTTGACACTTTGCCAAATGCAGTCACTATGTATATCAAATTGAACGTCTAAATGAGTTCTACTGAAAAATGAAAATTTCAAACCCCTTTTTCATCCCAGTGAAGGGTTGGGTCATTTAGTGCAAAAAGTTCAAACTTCTCAGATAGTTAGGTTGTAGCATATCAAATGAAAGTCCATAAAGCGTACATTTCAAATATCAAATTGACGTCCCAAAAAATGGGTTGGGTGGGGTCATTGAGTGCAAAACATAAATTTTCTTTTAAGATAAGGTTGTTGTATATCAAATGAAAGGTCATAACGTGTGCATTTCAAATATCAAATTCCTGTCCTCGAAAAATCAGTTGGATGGGGTTATTAAGTGCAAAAATCAAACTTTCTAGAAGATGGCGTTGTCGAATATCAAATGAAAGATCATCAAGTCTACATTACATATATCATACTTCCGATCTCGAAAATTTCGGCGGATGGGGTCATTAAGTGCAAAAAAAGCGAAAAGTTTCAGAAGGTATGCTTGTCGTATATCAAATGAAAGGTCGTAAAAAGTACATCACGAAAACATCACTTTTACAGGAATGACCTTTCAATTGTTTTACAAACAATTGAAATATTAGTTAGCCTTTTACTTTTTTATTCAAGCGTAGACGAAACGCGCGTCTGGCGTACAAAATTATAAGCCTGGTACACAAAATGTATCGTTGATGAGTTTATTTTATTAACTGTTTATTTATTCATTACAATACAACTGAATGAATGTAATAGAATATCATTTTTTTGACAATACATTATATGATAGATGCTATTATAAAATGAAATATAAAAATACAAATATATATATATATATACAAATATTAATGAAAGGAACTATTTTCCTCCTCGATACCATCTACCGAGATTAGAGTTTCCTCCAGCCCTACCTGTAAATATAAAGAATAATACAAAATGCATTCCGTTAAAAGTATGAATATAAAAGAGATATGGAGTATCTTGTTCAAATAGATAAAGTATGCCATTTTGTAAAAACTTAACCATTTGCTGCATGTACAAGTAAATGTATATATAAAAAGGTTGCTTTATCAACAAGAAAGGAATCAAATAACGGAATCAGGTGAATCGTTAAACAGCCAATAAAAAGATCCAATATTTTAATGAATTGAATACATACTGTAAATGTAAACACCTAAGTTAAAAAGAAAAAATGCCGTTTTTACCGGGCCTATTAAAGTGACTTTGCATCGCGAAAACACAGTATGTTTATTGTCGTTGCTTGTAGATCTACTTACCATTCTTCATTATTTCAAAGATCTTACATAATTGTGTAATTTTCCAAAAGATCACACGTAAAGCTAATCTAAGTTATAAATCCTCTGTTAGACCCTTTTCGCTTGCGATGATTTTCGAACGTTTAATGTTTGTGAACTTCAGAACTTTTGTCTTGAGAGTACCAAGAAAAAGACACCGGTGTCGTGTGTAGAGATATTTTATCTGATTTTACAATTTGGTGAAATCTAATCCTGTAATGTGCTTCGTTTATCCCTTAACATTACTTGTTTAGTAATAGAAGCAGTCTAGCGATGTTATTTTACTTTCATTTTGTTTGATACTTAAAAATGTATACATTCATAATAACAAAATAATAGACAAAGTGACATACATGCAGAATTGCTTACATCCACGCCATTTGGACTCTGGTGTATACTTGTCTCATTGACAATCATATCTCCTTGTTTGTATAAATAAAAAACATATTTTATAATTCAGTTTCAGAGCGAATATGCTATCTTCCCATTTTTTTTTATATGTTACAGTAAATGCCCTCTTATTCATCAGTTAAGGCGGTTCCTTTGAAAAGTCTCCATGGTTCTCAAAATCTCATTCCATAAAGTGGGTCCTCGGTGGCCGAGTGGTCTAGGTAGTCGAACTAGTGTATCACTAGCCTGTCAACATTGAGGTTGTGAGTTCGATTCCCGCACATGTCAGGTGCCCTAGACTCCAATCTCAATTTACTATGATTGTCAGTTTTTCTACTGAAGGTCGGTGGTTCTCTCCGGGCACTCCGGCTTCCTCCACCAATAAAAACTGACCGCCACAAAATAGCACAATAGTACTGAAAGTGGCGTTAAACACCAAATCAATCAATCAATCATTCCAGAAAGTCTTATGATTCATACGTATTTAGCAATTTTACTCACCTCCCCACTGTTGTGCCAAAGCGAAGGACAACAACAATATTAGGATGATGATTATTCTAACAAAGTTTGACCATTTCATCTACAAAATAAGTTTTATTTTTAAATTCATACATGTTTTAAGAAATCAATGAAACACTGGTATGCATGATGAGTTTATTCTAGGAATCATGATTTTTGGTAAAATGTGTATTTTCTATGATATTTGTTTTAATTGAATGCATGCATGTCTTATTTTGTAACAACCAGTTAAAAGATATAAGCTAAAATTAGTAAGTGTTTTACATAACCAAAATCATTGTAAAAAGTAAAAAAACAAAAATACTCCAAGGAAAATTCAAAACGGAAAGTCCTTTATAAAATGGCAAAATCAAAAGCTCAAGCACGTCAAAGGAATGGAAAACAACTGTCATATTCCTGACTTGGTACAGACATTTCCTTAAGTAGAAAGTGGTGTATTAAACCTGGTTTTATAGCTAGCTAAACCTCTCACTTGTAAGACAGTCACATAGAATTCCATAATATTGACAACAATGTGTGAGCTAAACAAACAGACATAACAAGTAAAAATGTCAAAAATTGGGGTACAGCAGTCAACACTCTGTTATAATCTTAATCACTATGAAAACAAATAACTATTTCAACAAAGAAAAACAAAATTGAATATAGACACTCTATAGACAAAGTACATAAGCAAAAATGAAAGACAAGAATACAAAATTGACCATAGTACAATAACACAATAGCGGGATGTATGGATACCGAGACACGCCAAAAGTATATTACCAAAAATGGACTAAACAGTAAAGGTTAAAAATGTACAAGTAACTCCATGTTTGTTTTCGTTAAATTTTACATCGATAGACGTCTCTAACTAAAATAAAATAGTATGCATCAGAAAGATAATACAGAACTTTACTTCCAACAAATTTGTGGTTTGGTTAAGAATGTCCGTCACATACATTTCTGGATAAATACTCCAAATTTACCAAATTCTGTCAAATTTACGGTTGACAGCTATCGTCGGGCGTTTGAAACTTGGCCATCTCTTTAGAAACTGCCATAATACTCTTCGAAACTCAAAGAACGCACATGGTGCTGTGATATTGTAAATCTAAATAAAGATTGATTGATTTTTTAAGATGGCCCTATTAAGGAGTAAATTCAGATGAAATATTTCATACTTCTTAAGTTCAAAAGAAACGAAAGATGTAAAATGTCAGCATCACAATAGGGTGAACAGCAACGTCTGCAACGCGTTTTATGTACAGCAAACTGACATATAATTTTTTAAATATGTTCTGTTTTATTCTATTTTAAGTTGATATATTTAAATCTCACTAATAACTTATTTTTTTAAAGAAGGTTATATTTGTTATACATTAATGAAGATGATCAGTTTTGTTTCTAACATTTTAATGTAATATATCTAGTAAACAACTTCACTTACCTTGAGTGTATGTTCAAATGACTAAAAGAAGCCTTGACGTTTTTTGTGTTTCTGTTGTCTTTATATATCACATTTTTGAACTCCGTTTTTTCTTCTTTTAAGAAGAAAAGGGATGACTCACAGCTTATAATGGATCGGTCGTCCAGATAAATCTTTGGCTAAAAAAATGAAAAAAAGTAAACAGTTTATATAATCATTTCGAATGTGAGTGAACCTTTATAAGTACACATTCTTGAATAGAGTACTAAAAGGTTTAATCAAATAAACACGTTGTAAAATTGATATTAATTGTGAATGGAGATTACATTTTAACGGCCAATAAATTTGTTTTGCCCATTTGTCATTCTGTTCAGAGAAGTATATATCATACAACTACAGCCTTCTTAGAAGATGGACGGCGGGAAAGGGAAACACCTCTCACTAGTTGACAATTATGGATGCCCACCTCCTAAAAGATCTTTATTAACTAAACAAATAATGATTAGAATTTAACAAAATATAAGAGAAGTTACCAGCAATGTTACACTTCAGACATCTGCAATATGAAAAAAAATATTAAAAGCAACAAGCAAACGAGTGAAAATGAATGTTCAATCAGATGTAGACAAACTACGGTGTTCATCCGGGAAAAGAAATTTGTGTTTGTAATGGGGGTATAATATTTTTATCAACCTTTCTAGGTGAATAAGTGAAAATGCCAAAGGCCATCTCGCAATTGCCATCGTCAAGGGATCATAATTTGGACCAATCAGAAACATTTATTGATATTAAGGTTTTTTTACACTTTTTGAACTATTTACATAAGAATACTTCATCTTTAATCGTAGCTTTTCTGGCATCAAAGCCATCAAACATACCAGAAATTATAACTTTTCTTTGATAAATAGAAGGTAGAATTTATGTCAAACATATTGCATACTTTATACTTTAATATTGAGTTGATGTGGTATAATTCAACTCCGAGGTATCATCTCTGTTTTTTTAATTTATATTAGTGTCCTGAGAAAGCGTGGACTTAATAGAATCGGGGGAAAATGGAATAACAAAATGCAGCTGGTAATGAATGTCCGGTCATTGATATAAGAAATTGATTTTTGTCATTGTCAGTACTAGGACTTAACTGAGTTTATGCGATGTTGATCCTACATCCACTGACTAGACATTTGTGGCAATAAAGGATACCTATGTAACTTGTACACAGGGTAAGCGTGTTTATTTCTATTATCTTCAAGGTCCGTTACCAGTTTGATACTGGATCCGAAATGTTCTATTTACAAATTATCCAACGAGTAAACTTTATTCATAAATTGACACCAATGAACTAAAATATGTACACCTGCTCTTTGCGTTCTATAATTAACTATTTATAACTATTCTGATTTAAATATACTAGTATATACAACTGGTACAAAATTCTCCTGGGTTAGGAACCAATTTGTCCTTTTGGTACAATTATGTACCCTACAAGCTATAACACTTGTCTAAAACGGTACAACTTGTACAAGTGCGTAAATATGAAAATAAGAAGATGTGGTATGATTGCCAATAAGACAACTCTCCACAAGAGACCAAATGACACAGAAATTAACAACTATAGGTCACAGTACGGCCTTCAACAATGAGCAAAGCCCATACCACATAGTCAGCTATAAAAGGCCCGAAATGACAAATGAAAAACGATTCAAACGAGAAAAATAACGGCCTAATTTATGTACAAAATAATGAACGAAAAACAAATGTGTTACACAACAACAAACGAAAACCACTGAATTACAGGCTCCTGATTTGGGACAGGCACATACAGAATGTGGCGGGGTTATACTAGTTTGAAGGCACCAACCCTCCTCCTAACCTGGGACAGTGATGTATCAGTACAACATAAGAACAAACTATAAAAATCAGTTGAAAAAGGCTTAACTCATCAGATGGATACAAATAGAAATACATCTAACAAAAATACAGAGTGGACGTGGCAGGGTACTTATACATCCCCACAACAAAAAGACACTGAGTACAGATCTGAGAGTACTCGCAGTTACTGACAGCTAGTTCAAAACCAATAACAACTAATAATAAAAATCATGCATCTAAGACAAAAATATCAATCAGAACACATCCAACATCAAATGGATTTAGAGTAAAGACGTCATTAACAGTCGGAGAAAAACATCACCTTGTGCAATGCCAAGATACAGGTATCGACAGATTGTAGAGCCATGAATGTGCATATGCATATAAAAATAATATTTAGTTTGATTTTAATTTATTGATAACAAAATCAATATTAATAAAAAAAAAAATCCTTATAGGCACCAACCTGTTCTTTATTACACTCATAGTAATAGTATCTTAAAGAGACTACGATCTCGAATATCCACGTACCGTAATTACAGGTCTTCGTCTTCGTAGACTTATGACAATTGACAATAAGCATTGAATCGCGCCTGCTTGTATACCGCAATGGTTCTTCCTAAGTACATCATTACTCGTATTAGAGTTTCCTTTGGAACACCCCTTCACATTTGACCTGACCCAAGGTTTACCCGCCAAATATCTTATTCTTTTCTATGTTTTATTAAAGTTTATACAAATACATAACATAAATAAAGGCAACAGTAGTATACCGCTGTTCAATAGTCATAATTCGATAAAGCAAAAACAAATCCGGGTAACAAACTAAAACCGAGGGAAATACATCAACTATAAGAGGAAAACAACGGAACAACAGAAACACTGAACCACAACAAAAGCAAACGCCAACATACATAGATTTAAGCTTCTACCAAACTGTAACTAAGGTAAACTATCTAACCTAAGATACAAAATCATCACACCTATATGAAGTTTTTTTCCCCTGGGCAAGTTTGAATAAGACTTAATTACCTTTGATCTCTATAACTCTGTTTGATTTTTAGTCTCAACAATGCAACAGATTCTCAATCTGAAATCAAGAGTTCAGGAAGGTTTCAGTCAATTTTACACGTTGCCATATTTCTCCATTGCTTAGACTTGGGAAAAATAAGAAAGGCTGATCATTTCAATATACATGTTAGACTATAAGTCATATTTTTCAGCCCAATTAGAGTCAACTTTTTTGCAAATTAGCATGTAAATTATTTAGATATTTAGAGCATTCCTGATGAAGTTAAATCCAGAAAAGCGCTTCGGACGCACGAAATTTATAAAATGTTATTTTAATTTTTTACAGCACTGGGTTGATACCGCTGCTTGTGGACTACCAGGGTATCATCAGCTCAGTAGTCACAAACCTTTTTCGATTGTCCGTTTATAAATTTATAAATCAATAAGAAACTATGGTTCCAACTCCCTCAGGAAAAGTGTCCAAGTTTTATAGATTTGGCTATTATTTTAGGTCTTTTTTTGTCATATAGCTCTTCAACTCTTTCAGTTCTTATACATCCTTGGCTTCATATATTCTGCTTTGAGTGTTCCCGATGAATGTAAATCAAGAAAAAGCGCATGAAATTTATTAAATGTTGTTTTCATTTTTAGCATGATCGGAATCCTCATTTACTCTCGCATTCTTGGTCTATCTACATGTTGACGATGTGCTCTCAGTAGACGTCCTGTATTTTTATGTATAATTACATTAAACCACCAGGGGCGAGCGGGAAATCGAAATAAAGCAGGCCGAACTAGATATCATTGAGATGGGAGCCATCTCTGTGGGCCCCGCTGTGAATAATGTGTGGTAAAAAATTGGTATCTTTATCATTGGACATGGGGTTGTCAACTGAAACCAAAGTTTTTTACCTTGACCTTTGACCTAGAAAGTTGTACATAAATTATGACACACCCTCTGGTGTTGGTTTATATACATGTCAAGTATAAACTTTGAAATTATATCGGTTCTCAAGATATAGAGCGGACACGATCTTTACCATAGGACATGGGGTTGTCAACTAAAACCAAAGTTTTTGACCTTGACCTTTGACCTAGGAAGTTGTACATACATTATGACACACCCTCTGGTGTTGGTTAATATACATGTCAAGTATAAACTTTGAAATCATAACGGTTTTCTAGATATAGAGCGGACACAATTTGTTACGGACGGACGGACGGACAGACTGATCACTATAGGGCGTCCGCCATTCGGCGGGACCCTAATTATTATAGATCACATGACAATGCATCTGTTAGGAAAGATTTGCATGTTAAATATGTATATTACATGACAGCAGAACAAATCATTGCAGTTCCTAGCTGAGAACTATGTTAACAAAATATGAATTTACTTATTACAGTGCTTCGGCACTGACATGATTTATAATATATATGTATTTTTTTCTAAACTTCCAAGTTGAAAAAATAATAAATTACTAAGAAACCAAGATTCCAACTCCCTCAGGCAAAGCTGACCTTATATGAATTCAACTTTTCGGTGCTATTTAGGTCCCAGTTGGTCACATAGGTCTTTACCGTTGCTACACATCTATACATCCCCATTTGGCTTACAAATGTTTTGGTTTGAGTGTTCCAGATTAAGGTAGATACAGAAAAGCGTTTGGATGTACAAAAGTGTTATTTTCGTCTACCGAAATGTCAAACACAATTTAATATGTCTTTGCATCAAAGTACCAAGTCGCATATTTAAAGAATATTCAACTGTTGGAAGTTCGCATATTTAAAGAATATTCAACTGTTGGAAGTTCGCATTCAATTGCATACAAAACGCATTTGCAACAAATGTTAACAATGTCTTTAAAAAAAGGAAACGTCCAAACACGTGTCGTACAATATTAACTCTGTCCCGTACAGTTTGAACCACGCGTTTCCTCAAAAATTCGTCAAATATTACAGATACGTTCATAGTTCTTTAATTTTAGCTTCTTACTGTCGTTCCCTCTTCTCATAATTTTTAAAAGGTTTTTTTCTAGTCAAAAATAGTCAAAATACGATTTTCTGAGCAAAAAGTTTAGTCTGTAACAAAATGATACGTGTTTTACTACTAGTAAAATGTACTTCTAGTAGTATTAGACTCATTTCTACTACGTCACTTAACTGATCTGAACTGGTCAATCCGTAAATTTTAATAGGTGTATTGTAGTTTACCAAAGTACGACAAATTTACTCAAACAAATGTTTCGGCGGGGGTATATGCAGGTCCGTAAAATGTATAATATAGCAAAGATTAAAGGTCACACTTTATAGGGTGATTTGAGGGGATACTCCTACTTTTCTTTGCAAGAGATTACCAGTGTAAGTGCATGTTTGCGCGCCATGTGTTGAATTTGTAGTAAACTACATAGGACATGGTTGTCTCTTTTGAATATTATCATAGTAAAATGCAAGATTGAAATAAGATATGAGTATATTCACTCCTTACAATACACGTGATTATGTCGAAAGTTATTTATACTGTTTATTTCTATGTTAACTGATTCTAAGTCAGTTATCTCGGGTATATGTATAGTTTACTCACTTATATATATATGTCCTATATTTTTAACCTGATAAAATAAACAAAACTTCTATGAAAGCAAACAGGTAAGTCATTTAATGCACTGGAGACTGCCGAGAACTGTGGAGTTTTATAGCTATTAGGAACAAATGTAAAAAATGGACAAATTATTTTGCAAGTTTCCATTTATTAAACAATTTGTTAATTATAGTTAATCAACGCCTCGATTGAAATCATTCATGCATGCAAATTCGCTTTTGGATGTATGTAAATAAGAGTGTTGATATGAAATAAGGATTTTGCGTGAAAAGTAAACATTTTGTTTAAATTGAAAATATGTATAATTTATTACTACCAGTGGTAAGAGACTATCAATCCCCGAGGGAAATATCCACTTAGTAGCCGGCGCAGTCATTGGGTACTGGCATGTTTAAAATAATATAACGTTGTTTCCAGTTTATAAATTATGAAGTAACAATCATAAAACTAGGTTCAAAACTCCCTAACGGAAAACTTACCTTGGCTTACTTTTGTTGTTTTGTTTTGGTATATTGGACTTTAATGCTCTCGAACGTTATATATGTTAGCATTTAAGCCTTGAGCCAACCATATGCAGGGAAGTAAGAACAATTGTATCATGCACACAGCAATTAGTATCATGAAAGTTTTTAACAGATTATGTCATAATGAAATTGTTACCTTTACTAGTCTCGAAAGGTATTGTTTCAATTTTTTGTCTGTTGAAGAGAGAAAGATTTAATTTTGAACAAAAATATTCACTCCAGAACTCAATTAAACTGATCGAAAAATATGTTTTCATCATATGGAAATCCTTTTTACATCCTCGTCCATTGGTCTCCTGTGGATAGTTGTTTCAATGGCAATTTAAGCACATCTCCTTGTTTTTATTTTCGATACACAAATAAAAATGTCAGCAACTCATTTGTGCGAACTCCAAGAAAAATTCAAAGTAGCAGTAGCATAGAATTATATTAAAAATGTCATGTTTTTAATATTGTGGATAGGATGTTAATATGTTCCAGGATTTAAAACTAAAAATTAAAGAAATAACACAATTTGAAGCAGAATAATAATAACTTAAAACTAGTAACACGAACCATTCTTAAAATCGGATACTAGACATGTAATTAAAAAAAATGTTTTATTTAATATATATAATAAATGAAGCTATTGAAATTTTTCATATATACAAGTAAGGACAAACGAATTTTTGGTCTTCTGTTTTTGCATACTATTTATATTTATATTTCCGTATCAATATTACTAAAAACGTACTTTCATTCCGGCGTGTATAACTTCCAGTCTACAAAATACAATAGAATATATGCCGTCTATACACTATTGTGTTTTCCGTCGGAAATGAAAACACAGGGGAAAGGCGTCAAGGAAGTTTAACACTAGTGAATTTCTTCCAAAGGAAAGCGTATACTGCCGGAAAAGATTATTGCATTGTTTAATCTTGTTAAGGTGCAATTGTATTTCAGCATTTTTTAAGTTATGTCGAAGAGTCAAAAAGTTTTGATAGCTGCAGCAGGTGCAGCCGGAGTGGGCATGGCAGCATGGAAAACATTGTTTCCTTATATTACTGATGACTATCGTACGCTTCGGCAGACATGGCGGGTTTCCTTGGCAATATGGAAGGACTTATTGGCTGATAATAGAGTCATCGATATGTTTGAAGCAGACGTAGAAAAACACCCAACGAAGCCTTTCATTATTTTTGAAGATAAAATATACACTTATGAATACATAGATATGATGGCTAACAAAATAGCAAATGTTGCCTTGTCATGGAGTCTTGATCAATTAGATACAGTAGCAATGATGATATATAACGAACCTGCGTTTGTTTGGACATTTCTAGGTAAGTCTGATTAGAAATTATGATGTCCACTTTCTGTGACTTTTTATTGCAGGTTATTTGTTTGTATTAAATATACAATAATTAAAAATAGGGAGCAAATAAAATAAGTGAAAGTAGTTAAAACGGTACTATGGCTAAAAGGAATAATAAACCAAAGATAAACATACCAGTATTACATATGGTACAGGAGACCAATTGACTCATATTAAAAAAAATCATAAAAATGAGAAAAAAGCTGGTAAAACTCCAATGTTCTAAATCTCGATGAGTATTGCTTAATGACTGAACCATCCGTTATAGTTGCTTATGGCAAGTAACAAAATGATGTTAACTAGTAAACATTGAAAAAATACGAACAAGAAAAGAAGACTGCTACAATTGGAGCATATTCGAGACGGTCAAATTAAATAAATATTTTGCATGAAAACTCTTGGTTCAATACAATCCTTGCAAGTAACAAAATCATGCCAAGGCACTCCCAATAATATATATAAATACGACTTCTAGAAAAAAAAGTAACTATTGATATATGTACTACATACAAGTACGTTGGTGCTCCTGAAAAGTTCCCACAATTAGTTCACGGTGTCCAAATTGAAGTCATCTTTTTTATTGTTAGGAAACGTTTCCTTTATCGCTCTAAAACGGCCCTTGCCGTCTATTTCTAGGTGTGGTTCAAGATAAACAGCATACTTTCCTTAAGTTGAAGTGAAATACGACAGTCTCAAAAAACAAGCTAGCTACCTGAATTATTATGCAAAAAGACCGTATCTTTAAAGTAGATTTAAAGGTTTAAGAAAAGTGCTTGATTCTTTTTCATTTCTTGAGAGGCATTTGTATGATTATCTCTTATATGATAAAAAGACTAACTTAAAATGACGATGATGAACTCATGGTTTACAAATATAATACGCTTATCAATACAAGAGCTAATTGTTAATATAACAGCACGCAAGAAGACGATTCATCCTACCATGGCAATTTATTTGACTCTGAGTCGACCTGACTGTTCTTGATCATAAAAAGCCACGCGCTGAGCGGAAAAGCAACACATATCAATTTTCAAGTATTAGGTTGACGCGGCCGGGAAATGGAACCGACCACATCCCGCACTCGAGGGGAGAGAGAACTTTACCATCAAAACTTTTTTCAAAGTAAGAAAGTTCCTTCCTAAAACGAGATATTCTAAAAATCAACGTTTACTGTTCTGATATTTTGAAGTAATACTGACTGTTTAAGCAATCATCAATCAACCAATATTTGAATTTATAGTGAGGAATTTGGAATGAGTTGAAACGGTAAAAAAATTCTTACGAAACAGATTGAAATAAATTAGGATTATAAGTATAATCAATGTTTAAATTGAAGGTCAATAAAGTTTTTAAAAAAAATGTCAAAATATATGTAGATCTAGCCAAACTCATGAAAATACCAATCCAAATGGTAAATAACTTTAAAAATGTGGAACACCGATATCCATTTGACCTCACATGTTCAGGCAAAAACAGACTAAAATAGGGATGAAAACAATAGGAATCTCACGTACTTTTTAAACATGTTTGGTAAAAATTAGAGAATTGTGTCATGTTTAACTTGATTGTTGATTTGCATCACTGTGCGAATCTAGTAGCTTCGTACGTTATACACGCCATCTTGAAATTATTACGTAACAAATATTGGTTCTCATTGGTTGCCTCATGAAATGGGAAAGATTCTATCGGCTAGAATGGGATATAAAATTGGAAACATGTCTCACACAGGAGAAAATATTAAATACGAAAAAAATTACAGTATGGGTATTCAAGATGAGTTCCGATACCCGATCGATGAATATCATTGTCTTTACTGGTTTACCTTGCTATATTGTCGCTTCAACTTCATATCGATAAATAGGATTGGACTGTTAGTTTTCATTAATTGATAATTTTGAATTGACAAGGATACATGGATGCTAAAATTGCCATATCCTTTTGTTTTTCTATTGTATTTGCTTAGCAACAAATACCAGTTCTGATTGGTTTCCTTTTGATGTTGGCTAGAATAAGATATATAATTGAGAACATGTCCCAGACAGGAGAAGATATCAAATAAGGACACTAAGGAATAAAATTACTATATGTATATTCAAGACCCTACCAATTGTTATTGTATAATGTCGACGTAATTTGTCATACTGCAAAGCACTCCGTACCTCTCTAGAAAGGTTAAACTTGTTTTGGTTTTATTTCTGAAAGAGAGCGAGAAATAAACCATGACAGGAACATATTTTTTGACATGTGCCTTAAATAAACCGCAAAATAAGATATATTGGATTTGGGTCGTTATCATGTTTAAACAAAGATCAAGGCTAATACGAACGATAAAGTTCCTTCACTGACAGAAACGATCTGCTCATAACAAATTCATATTTATTCTTCAGATAACGAAAATTAATTTTCGGAAAATTGAATCAATAAATATCTCGATAATCAATCATTTTTCAAATTGTATTTGACATTATTCTAAAATTGGCAATTTAAAATCATGTTTCCATTCGCTCATCAACACACTTGTTATAAAGAGTCTTCCAAACACCCCATTACTATAGGAAGAAATGGGAGTATAAGACTTTAGAATTTATTCTGATATTAATAACATTATATTAAAGATAGAAAACATAGCTTTTAACAGACTTTGTGAGAAATTTATAACATGTATGTCTTATATTTCATGTGAAAGCAAAATTACCTCGTGGCGTTGATAAATCATTGTTTTGTAGCCTTAGTATATTTTGATATACAGGTTTACAGAAAATTGGACTAGCTGCAGCATTTGTCAACTATCATCTAAAGTCCACTCCTTTGGCACACACCATCAAAGTCAGCGAGGCAAAAGTTTTAATAGTTGGAGAGGGTAAATATATTTGACTATAAAAGAGGGACGAAAGATACCACAGAGGGACAGTCAAACTCATAGATCGAAAACAAACTGACAACGTCATGGCCAAAAATAAAAAGACAATCAGAAAAATAATAGTACAGATGACACAACATAGAAAACTAAAGACTAAGCAACACGAACCCCACCAACAACTGGGGGTGATCTCAGGTGCTCCGGAAGGGTAAGCAGATCCTGCTCCACATGTGGCACCCGTCGAGTTGCTTATGTTATTACAAATCCGGTAAATAGTCTAATTCGGTAAGTCACATTCGTGAAAAGGGAAGGGTATTGTAGTTACGACATAAGGAACATATCCGATATCATCTGTGAAACGGTTATTCCATAACGGTCAACAAACTCGTGATGGCGTCCGTAAAATTTTACGAAGGGATGACTTCAACTTCACCATTTGGAACATGTTATCAAAGAAGACCTATATTTTAATTATACAAATGATGATGATTTATTGTTGAAACAAAAGTTTCATGTCATTTTGTGAAATCAGAACGTACTTCATGTATGGTAAAACTAGGTATGGTAAGGATAAAAAGAGTAAGTTTTTATTAGCCTTGGGTATGAACAGTATTGTTTTAGCTGGGATATAATAATCATAATATAAAGAATAAAAAATGGAACCAAAGAAATAAATGTCGGTAAAGTATACAAAAGTATTTCATAAAATATAAATAAAACGCGATATAGGATATACATCAACGAAAGAGCAACTCATTGATATATCAAAACCAGAAAGGTCACATAGAGTTCATCACACGGTGTTCAACAATAGACCCGTATCTATACAAAAAACCAAGCTAAAAATCGTCCAAATCTAGGCAAATTTTAAAGCATTAGCAGAGAGTACCAAAGCTCTATTATCAACACCCGATTTACTAAAGGTAGAAAACAATACACCAGCCACTTGCGACAGCTACATTAACTAGTTACAGCGTATGGTCCTGGTTTGCGACATCCACATTTATTAGTGGCAATGTATGGCCCTGGCTTGCTACATCCACACTACCTGGTTACAAGGTGTGGTCAAAACATGTCTATTAGTAAACCGATAGTGGAAGCAAATTATCTGGACCATGTGTTCTACTTGTTCGGAAAATTTGGGTATTGGTGTTTGATGTGGTCTGTTGTACTGTACAATATTTTTGATCGTTCTTGTTATCATCAAAGTAATAAGTATGCTGATGTAGAAATTATACCGTCTTAAACTTATTTAGATAGTATTACCCTTTAAGTGCTTTTTTTAAATTTTACACATACTCATTTATATAATGACGATGATAAAAATAGCTATATCATTCTCTAGATCCCCAAAACAGTACTGGCGTTCTGGAGAATGGAACCGACGAAATGTTCATCACATAATTCTAGCGACATTTATCTAAAGTAAAATCTTTTCTTCTTTGTGTATTGAACTCCAGGTTGAGATTGAGTTTTTATTGTTTTTGTTTTTTTTTGCATCTTTTTAAATCTTAAACCATACATAGATATAAGAAGATGTGGTATGAGTGCCAATGAGACAACTCTCCATCCAAGTCAAAATTTATAAAAGTAAACCATTATAGGTCAAAGTACGGTCTTCAACACGGAGCATTGGCTCACATCGAACAACAAGCTATAAAGGGCCCCAAAATTACTAGTGTAAAACCATTCAAACGAGAAAACCAACGGTCTAATCTATATAAAAAACGAGAAACGAGAAACACTTATGAACCGCATCAACAAACGACAACTACTGGACATCAGATTCCTGACTTAGGACAGGTGCAAACAAATGCAGCGGGTGTAAACGTTTTAATGGTACCAAACCTTCACCCTTGTCTGAAACAATAGTGTAACATCACAACATAGAATTACACACTATAACATATCAATTGAAATGGCTTAACTCAATGTATGTTTTGACAAAGAAATAGTACATTAGATTATGATTTTATAAATGTAAATGGAATTCTATTTTTTGTACAATGTTGTCAAAGGTTCAAATATCTTAGGTAGATTCACATACCTTAGGTATATTCACAGATCTTAGGTAGATTTTATCATGGCTTTGTTTTCATTAACTGAACTCTATATGTCTAAGCAGTTCTTTACCACACTAAAACAGCCTTCAAGAATTGTCACGTAAGTATCTTTTTGGTGCGGGATTTTCTCGCTGTGTTGAAGACCCATTGGTGGCCTTCGGCTGTTTTCTGCTCTTTGGTCGGGTTGTTGTCTCTTTGACACATTCCCCATTTCCATTCTCAATTTTATTTGTGTATTTTAAAATTTGTTTCAAAAGCATCAAACGTATGTTCAAAACGGACATCTCATAAAAAAAGAACAAGTTGCTTTTCATTTAATCTTATTAGAATAAAAGTAAATGATTGCTTTCTGGTCATTCGATCACTCTTTCGTTTCGCTGACAATCATACAGTAGCCATCATTTTGATATGCATAGACACCTTAGACGACTCTTGTTTTTTTCCCTAGGAGAGGATTTATTTGAATCTGTCCAAGAAATAAGTAAAGAAATACCAGACACTGCAATATATGTCATGGGAAAGTCAAAAACTGATCTCCCAGATGGGTTTAGCTCGTTATCAGACCAAATGGTTAGATCACTGCCTGTGCCTTTATGTAAATCAGTACGAGAGACAGTCCCTGTGACACACCCATGTTGCTTTATTTATACCTCGGGTACGACAGGTATGTCATAATGTTTTTTATATTCCTAAAGATTAAAGAATAATATAGTAAAAAAAGCTAAGCAAGATACAGCAATGAAAGACAGATACTATTACATTTCTTATAAGCATTCGCCATTCCGCCTTGTTACTTGGATTGACCGATTGGTGAAAACAAACAAGAGAGAGAATGTATATAAGGATTTGTACGGATACGTTTCGGTTAAACTATTGTGATAATTGAATAATTCAGTTTTGGTTTCTAATGTAAATATATAGCAATATATACCTTTTGCTACTGGATGATGGATGAGGATAATACCGATGCACATTTGAAATAAAAATTTAAAATAAACATTTTATCTCAAATTTAAGTGTAAAATAATCAAATAAACGGACTTCACATAGACATAGTGCTCTTTCACAAACGACATAAACTGTTTAATCATTTAGACCTTCGTTTCTTAAAAAAAGAACTTGGATTTTTTTACACTCAAAGTATAAAAACTATAAAAAAAATATATATTTAGCAAACTTTCAAACCATCCAGACATATATATACATTATGATTTTGTGCGCAATAAAACATTATGAAAGCTTTTATATAAGTGTATCAGCTTAAATGACACTTACTAAAGGTCATAGTGCGTAGTAATATTCAGCTATATATAGTACTTTACTTAAACTTTCGTATATTTTGGTCTTTTTATTGTCAAACGTCTGTGGGAGGATAATTACGTATCATGAGACATTACATGTGTCGTCATTTGTCTTATTTACCATTAAATGTAAATCAAAAGATAGATTTTAATGATTATAGATTACCCAAAAATATTTGTTTACGTTTAAGATGGAATAAGTTACGAAATAAACCTCTTTTTGCACTTTACGATTACAAAATACGTAATTGCCACACGTGTCTTTATCAAAATAGGGATATCTTGAAATAAAAATTATGACAAAGTGTGATGCTGCTTTTAATAATTTTGTATCATTCTAATATTTTTTCTTATATTAAAGCTTAGAATGTACCGTGGTGAATAAAATGATTATATATGATAAAATAATTAGTTTTATTCTTTTCAGGGCTTCCAAAACCGGCAGTAATAAACCAATGGAAAGCTAGTGCAATGACTAATAATATGCAGATTATTAATTTCAACGAAAATGATATAGCTTACGCAGTTACTCCTTTGTACCATAGTGCGGCAACCACTCTCAGTTTGTTTAATGTTATAGGTCAAGGTAATATGTAAAGATCTCATCAATTACAGTATATGATATTTTCTTATAGAAGTACAGAGCTTTGGAGTGTTCAATAATCATTTCTGCATAGACCATCATCAGAATTTCTTAGATCATATATTCTAAGTGTCAGAATACACGCTAGTAGTCCACATATGAGGTAATACAGTCCCGAGACAGGCTCCTAATGTATAAATAGCGTATACATGTACCATTACGTATGTTGGATATAAAAAAAAATCTCTAAATCAATTGTCTGCCACATTTGGAAAGTTTTTATATAAAAATAAGAAGATTTGGTATGGTTGCTAATAACAACATTCCACCAGAGACCAAATGACGTAGAACTATAGGTCACTGAACGGCTTTCTACAATGAGCAAAATCCATACCACAAAACAAGCTATAAAAGGCCCCGAAATGACAAATGTCAAACAATTCAAACGAGAAAACATAACGGCCTGATTTATGTACAAAACAGTACCCTAAAAACAAACATGATATACAGCAACAACCGACATCCACTAAATTACAGGCGCCTCACGTGAGACAGACACGTACATAATGTTGCGAAGTTAAACATGTAAGCGAGCGTCCATCCATCCCTTTAACCTGTGACAGAAGTGCAACAGAACAACGCAAGAACAAACGGTACATAACAATAAAAAAAATGTGACCAACAGCGGCAAACAAAAACCACTAGATTACAGGCTCCTGACTTGGAACAGGCACATATAGAATGCGTCGGGGTTAAACATGTTGATGTCGGACCCTTACCTGGGACAGTGGTGGAACAGCATAACATAAAAAAACAAGCTATACAAATCAGTTGAAAAGGGCTCAACTCACCAGATCGATACAAAGCAAAAACAACTAATAAAAACACAAAAGACACAAAGTATAGATCTGAGAGTACTCGCAGTAACATCAAGCTAGTTCAGGGCCAATAATAAAAGCATGAAGCAGGATGGGGTTTTTTTTTCTCATCGATTGTTTCATATTTTGTGATGCGTGGGCCTTTTATAGTTTACTATATGGTATGGATATTGTTCATTTTTGAAGACCGTACGGTGACATTTAGCTGTTTACATTCTCGTCCTATTGTCTCTGGTGGATAGTTGTCTCATTGGCAATCATACTTCATCTCCTTATTTTTATATTACTAAATAACTGGTAAACTGACCCTACCTCTGACTTGCACTATATATTTGTTTTGTAATACACTCCACCGGACACTCCTTAGCCTAGAAGTTAGGAAATCTAAACGCGACGCTGCTAAAATATTTACATCTCCAACAACAACAAAAGTAACTTGAAATAACAATCAAGAATCTTCTTATGGCACTTTCATTTGAGGAATATAAAAATCGTCTTTTTAGAACAAACCCTTTTTTCATAGAGGATATAAATCATGCAAATACCCAGGTAATGGTTTTGCGATAGCTGTTACCTGAGAGGTTGACCACCTACAGAAACGAACAACATGCACGCTCGTGAAAAAAGGTTAGAAAGTGATTATAAGACAAATAACGTATAACTATTGAACGCGGGGAAATTGGAATAAACAAAGAAGAACTGAATACAATTTTGATTTGTAGAAGAAGTTGGTAGAACATATAATTAGGTTCCGTGTATTCTAGGAGCAACTCTGGTACTTGGACGAAAGTTTTCTGCAAGCCATTACTGGGAAGAAGTCCGAAAACATAAAGTTACTGTGATACAATATATAGGAGAACTGTGTAGATATCTACTTAGAGTGCCTAAGGTATATACTTATTCAAATCTTGAACAACTTGGATTGTAAAATTGCTAAAGAAATAATTGAAGGGATGATAGTCATTAACTGAATTTGTTTAATTATTTTTCTACATGGATAATATCCCATGTATGATCCCGCCAATGTAATACGATTACAACAACGATATCGAGAGGCAAGCTGGAGTTTGTTCGTTCTCAATAATAACCATATAGATATTATATGTCGAAAATGAGCATTTTTGAAATATAAAATGCCAATATTAGACAAGAGAACACATGTACAATATGATATGAAAAACAAATTTTTATAAAATATAAGAAATATCAAAATGATTCATGTAAACAAGATAGTAAAACCAAGCATATGACTAGATTAGAATTTTATTTATTATTTATTCATTTACTGTTAATAGTGATTGGTTTATCAAATATAATTAGAGTGAATGTGGGGCATAAAAAGCGTCAATAAAGCTGTTTGATTTTAAACATATCGACCTGAAAAGTCAAACGATGTATTCCTTTAGTATAATACTTGTATTATATCAGACATCTGTCAATCAGTCATTCAATAATTGAAGCAAATTTAACATCTTTTCCAATTAGTGCACAGTTGAAATAACGGTGCCTCGTCTATAAGATGACCGACTGCTTTTTTTACTTTTTTTCTCTTTATCATTCATTTTAGAGCGATCTGGACGTAGTTCACAATGTGAGAGTAGCATTGGGAAATGGCTTACGACCAGATATTTGGGACGAGTTCAGAACGAGGTTCAACATTCCACATATTGCAGAGTTTTTTGGTGCAACAGAAGGTACAGGTGGTACATGGAATATCTTCAACCGAGCAGGATGTGTTGGAAGATGGTCCCCATTAACGGTAATGTATAGTCGGTACCAACATCTAAAGTTCAATGATAAGGCTTTACTGAAGTTAGAAGATAATGATGGATAGACATAAATGACCAGTGTATTGATACTTTGATATATTGTGTGTAAACTCTCAGATTAAGTTTGTCTTAGACAGTTTTGTCTGTTCAGTTAAGGCCCACAAACTGTTTTACCTCTTGATTTCCGAACTCGATATCGAGAGTACAAATGTATCTAATGAAAATTCAAGAAACAAGTGTCTTGCGTACTGGATGAAATCAGTTGGGTTTTTATGCCCAACCTACCATATTAGTGGGGCATTATGTTTTTCGGTCTGTGCGTCCGTTCGTTCGTTCGTCCGTTCGTTCGTCCGTCTGTCCCGTTTCAGGTTAAAGTTTTTGGTCAAGGTAGTTTTTGATGAAGTTGAAGTCCAGTCAACGTGAAACTTAGTACACATGTTCCCTATGATATGATCTTTCTAATTTTAATGCCAAATTAGAGTTTTGACCCCAATTTCACGGTCCACTGAACATAGAAAATGATAGTGCGAGTGGGGCATCCGTATACTATGGAAACATTCTTGTTTTTTATGAAGTGAAATCGGACTGAACATTTATATTAAAAGAGAAAATAGCTACTATATATTTAAATATATCTATGTGACTTTTGACCATTGTTGGTGTTTTTTAGAGTGCTTCCGTCTTTGAGTTTTGTTGATTATTGAGCAGCATACGACGACATCTAACTGTTCATTTATTGACGATCTTTATTGTTGGCGCAGCACGCAATTTCGTTGACACTTTTAAATCTTGATAATATTGTCTGGGTAATTTGTTTTATTTTAGAGAGCGCTTGGTCCAGGAGGTGTTCCAGTTTATTTGGTAAGGTATGACCCAGTTACATATGAACCACTGAAAGACAAAAATGGACGATGTATTGTGATTAAACCAGGTAAGACCGTTACTTTTAGGTGAAATAATTTAAAATTATGAAGAAAAAAAATAATTAGTTAATGGATTTCTGTAAATTGCTTGGGGAAAAACTTGGCATATTTATTAAAAAAAATTGTTATTTCAATATGAGGAAACAACATTATATAATAATCCATAAGAAAGTTCAAGCTTAGATATACTTTGAATACTAGTAAGTAAAAACAACTTTCATATAAATATATGTACCACAAATCTATATCATAATGAAAAAAGTTAGAACAGGATACTGTTATAGTTATTCTTCACATGGTTAAGGATGTGAACAAGTAGGAAGGATGAAATTCAAATATATTGTATCAAATTTACAAATGTGTGGACGTTATTTTAGGAGACTAACAATCCAAAATCGTATAATACCCTTTCAGACAAATACATGCAATGAGCATTGGATATACACCGATGAGACTGCTTCACAACTATACAATTCAAGGGACGCATAACGTGAGGGTACCCAAACTGTACCTATTTGACAGTTTTTTCATCTACATTTATTTAAGAAACAGACAAAAGTTTCCATTATGTGTTTATTCTGTAGATGTATCCTTATGTACTATATAGTTGTACAATTTCAATTTTGAACCCGTGCTGAATCATAGAAAAATACAAATGTAACTTTGAACCGACCTCCAAAAGTTTTAAGATTCTGTTATTAAATAATAGTTCATGTTTTTTATGCATTTTGTAAGAAATGGAAGTGTGTGACATATTTTAATTTCTTAATTTTAAAAGTAGACTTTTTTTCGACGTCGCAAGCAACGTTTCCGTAAATTTTACTTTTTTTCACTGGAGACTTTATCTGTTGATATATAATGTAAACCGTTTTGTGTATATTTAAGTATATTTAGCTATGTTGAAAGATGGCCTGGTGGCCTAATGGCAATTCAAAAAAAAATCAAATTGTTTAGTCTCTAAGAAATAACAATATTTCCTCTGCTTTCTTGCATAATGGATGCAATTTGGGTAATATGTGCAATTTGGGTACTTGGTGCTAAATGGTTACCGTGACGTTAATGATCTTATAAATATGAACATACACATTGATGTTGAAACGCGATTGTTTGGAAAAGATGCATATGATTACGAAACTAACTCTAAAATGTTTGAAAAAGTTCGTTGTTTCATTTAACAGCCAAAAAAAAATTAACATTTCAAGTAAGCAGCTTTCTTTTTTCTTTCTGTAATATTTTTTTTTTTGTTGCCATGCCAATGTGTGACTCCTTCCTTTATTTTCTATAACTGAAGCTATATTATGTATGTGTTTGTTGTCATCATATATATATATATATTGTATATGTAAGGAGAGGACTTAATATAAGTTGTAGTAACTTGTGTCCAATCCTATTGCTTGATTTATGAAATAAAATATCATTAAATTAAATTAGAGATAAACATACTTTTACGATATTTAATAAAAGGTAAGTTTCTATACGATTTATCATGTTCTGAATCGTTAAGAAAAAGTAAATAAATTTACCAGACAGTACCCATGATCTTAAAACCAAAATCTTAAATTAAAAAAAAAATAATAAGATATGATAACTGAAGACAACCACTGACGAGGCTCCTGGCGGTGAATGGCACATTAAAATTCGACAGAGTTTAACTACGATGTCTTCATATGTTTTTATGAGTAATTAACCGATTTATTGTATAATGATATAGTATAATTATGTTTACATGATATATGTTGTTTTTCTGCAGTTTTAACCAATGCGAGATGAGTTATGACAAGCAATAAATAAACAAAGCTTAGTCACGAAACTGCATATGACACTTGTGATTTATGAGTAAAATAAGTTAAAAAATCTAAACTGCATAAATCAAGAATAATGCAGGAGTAGTTATAATTTCAGGGGAAGAAGGTCTCATGATTTCAGCTATTCCAGAGCAGCTTTTCACATTTTACAAAGGTCCAGAACAGATGAATGAAAAGAAGATTATTAGAAATGTATTCAATGATGGTGATGCATTTTTCAATTTTGGAGATTTGTTTTACCTCGACGGTCAATATTATTTATATTTCCGCGACCGGGTTGGTGACACTTTCAGGTACTTAACAAATTAAAATTGAAAACAAGATCAATGATAACTTTAACAAGATAGGAATTTTTATGGTCTTAATCTGCATTCCTCTTTGAAGTTCTCATATCAATACGATGTTTGAAGAGAGAAATGACTTTGTCCAAAAAAAATTAAAACATAGCAAAGAACATTAAAATTTCAAAAATATATAAGAGCATTTTACTCGTCCCATCTTGCAGATAGGAAACAAAAGGATGTGGTATGGAAAGGCACGAAAGAATAATCCCATAAATAACTAGGATTAAATTTTTGTATGAAAGAAACGAATAATTTTTTTTCTTCGTTATTTTCACATTTTTAGTTGCAGAATTAAGAAATTACTCAGAAATTAAGTTTCCAACTTCCTCAGGCACAGTTGACCCTCGATGAATTTGGCTTTTCTGTTTAGGTCCTTTCTTGTCATAAAGCTCCAAACTTTACAGCGTATTTAAGACACCCTAGCTTTCAAATGTTTAGGTTATGAGCGTTCCTGTTGAAGGTAAATCCAGAAAAGCGCTTAGGCGCACGAAATTTATAAAGTATTTATTTCATTTGCTGTAGGGATTTTTTCTTCATATTTCATATACGAACTTGGCCATGAATAACATGTGGGTGCAATATGTGAAACAGTTCATATTTTGTCTTCTGGGCGACATATGGTTTCATACTGTTATTTATTCATAGATAGATAATAGAAGATGTGGTATGAGTGCCAATGAGACAACTCTCCATCGAAGTCACACTTTGTAAAAGTAAACCATTAAAGGTCAAAGTATGCCTTCAACACGGAGACTTGGCTCACACCGAACAGCAAGCTATAAAGGGCCCAAACATGACTAGTGTAAAACCATTCAAACAGGAAAACCAACGGTCTAATCTATATAAAAAAACGAGAAACGAGAAACACTTATGAACCACATCAACAAATGACAACCACTGAACATCAGGTTCCTGACTTAGGATAGGTGCAAACAAATGCAGCGAGTTTAAACGTTTTAATAGGCGCCAACCTTCACCCTACCTGAAACAAGCTCATATTAACAAACCATTGCTCTCCTGTCATACTTTCTGTTGGTTTTGGTTTGATTGTTCCCGTTTCGTTATCTATTGTTCATCATTTTTAATGTAATGGTTTTGATTGCTATTTCGTATCTTTTGCTTATCTCATTGCATTTTTCAATGAAGTTGTGCATGTTATTACTAACATTAGTTTGGTATATATTTGATAAATGCTTAACTAGAACAGCCATGTTTCATTTCAGATGGAAAGGAGAAAATGTATCAACCAATGAAGTAGCTAATGTACTAAGTACTTTACCATTTATACATGATGCAAATGTATTTGGTGTCAAAATTCCGGGTATGGTTAATTTGTGGTTTGAATTCCCCCAAAAAGTTCTGTAAACTGAAATATTTCTTTGGGAGATTTATGTAAAAAAAATTTCATCAAAGATACCAAGGCATGCTTATAATTTTGTACGCCAGACGGGCGTTTTGTCTACAAAAGGCTCATCGTTGACGCGCGAATAAAAAAAAAGAAAAGGTCAAATCTATTACAATGCCAATAACATTTTACAGAAAGTAAAAAAAATAGTCATTGTCATGTCTTTTTTCTTTTATTTTTACCATGTAAGAACCACTAAATGTCTTTTTAAAATCATAAGACTAAGATAAACCCATATTATCATGACAAAAATAAAACCGATGAACAGTCTACACAGAAAATCTAAGACGGAACACTGCAAATTCCACCATAACCGTGCTCCACTAGTGGCTATTGCCGTGTTGCTCATGGCAAGTACACTTTAGGTGATTGAAATAATTTTCCCGAACATGCACCGTATTATTTTTGTATACAACAGGGCAATATAGAAGATATAAATGATAGAGCTCCGAATTGTGCATGATGTCATCGAGTATTTAGAATCCGCAAGTCCAAGTGTGTTTTTGGAACATATGGATTACCTAATAAGAATCTGTTTAAAACTTCTGATATCATTACAAAAGTATGTATTAGGTTTATTGTAAGCTTTTTGTTAAAGTAGTTCAATTCATAATGATTGATAAGGCTTAGTACTTTATAATATATGAATGCTAATTCAGGTGAAGATGGACGAGCTGGTATGGCTGCATTGTCACTGCACCAAGATCAACCTGTAACGCCAGAAATTCTGAAAGGCATCTACCGCAAATGTGAACATGAACTTCCAATTTACGCCAGACCAGTATTTATACGATTTATGAAAGAGTTCATCGTAACACAAACAATGAAGAATCGAAAAATTGAATTAATAGAAGAAGGATTCGACTTTGATAAAGTAACAGACCCACTCTTTGTGATAGATAATAAATCAAAAACATACAAAACATTTGATATTGACAATTCTTATGAGATGCTGCAATCAAAGTTGTGATGTAAATACTTCTGAAGGAAAGATACTCATGTTGTATTGAGAATTGCTTACAGTAATGAGCTGTGTTTATTATATTCCATTTTTATCAAATCCTTGAAAACATTTAGACCAAAATATCACATGTGCAAACGAGAATTTGAGTATAAAATAATATGTCAAAAGAACGATATCAGTTTAGTAACAAAGGACAAGTGTTTTGTATCAATTATATGTTAACGCGCTTTTTAAATGTTATATAAAAAAAATATCAGGCTAAAAGATTCAAAAGCTTTTGGTCAATATTTCGGATTTTTGATGCTACAGCTGAAAGCAGCATATACTTTGTGTATTTATGTTTGCAATGTCTAAATTTATTCTCTTGGTAACAACTGTTAGTTTGGCATAGATTTTTGAAGATGGTATATAAAATATACTCATAAATAGATTAACAAGACACAAATCAAGGCCAAGACAAAAACTGAGGGTATCCCACGAACTCCAAAGGAGCGAGACAGAGTAAGCGTCTCCTCCTACATGATCACCCGCCATGCAAACCATACTCTGGTAAAATGTCTCAATCAGGAAAGACAAAATAGGAAAAATTACTGATCAGACGACTTATCTAGTATTTAAAGATCTAAGACCGGGAAACATGTTGCTAGTAAGTTAAGACACCAATTCGTGATGGTGACCGTAAAACGTATGTAGTGTTGATTTTAGTCGTTCTTCCTCATAACTCTACATAACTCTGTTGTAACGTTTTTGTGTAACGCGCAATATCCAGGAAAATATCAAGATATGAGACAGAACTTTTAGTTTCGGTAGTATGTTAATCTACGATTCTAATTTTTGTAGTTAAAGCTCTGTTTAATGAGGAAATACATTCGATCTTTCAATTGATCATCGGGAATAGTATTGTAAAGCGTAGAAAAATCAAAGGTTTTGACATTGCTGAACAATTGTAAAGATTGTGATTGAACATTCCCTAGTAGAACTTTATATTTTTTTAAGAATTTACATCTTAAGACGGATTTGTGATTTCTGAAATCTCCTCTTTCGTGAAGGATTTTAGAGTATATGTAGGATTCTCGGTTTTTTATGGCTTTGTCTGAATATATATTAAAAATTTAGGCTTTGTCTGGAGATATGTCAGGCTTTGTCTAAAGATATATCAGGCTTTGTCTAAAGATATATCATATATCAGGCTTTGTCTGGAAATATATCAGGCTTTGTCGAGAGATATATCAGACTTTATCTGGAGATATATCAGGCTTTATCTGGAGATATATCAGGCTTTGTCTGGAGATATATCAGACTTTGTCTGGAGATATATCAGGCTTTGTCTGGAGATATATCAGGCTTTGTCTGGAGATATATCAGGCTTTATCTGGAGATATATCAGGCTTTGTATGGAGATATATCAGGCTTTGTCTGTAAATACATCAGGCTTTGTCTGGAGGTATATCAGGTGCATTGGAAGGGCTTCAGAAGGTAAAATGACCAAAAAATGACCCTTGAAGTAATGATCTTTATTTAAGCAATACATTTTCTTGACTTTATTAGATTATTTCGCTGTGTTGATTGATTCTCAAAGAAGTTGGCTTAGCCTGCATTTTCATACTAGGCCTGGCGTTACTGCCTCAGACAAATGTGACCTTTTATATTAGCAATTATTCTAAGTTCCCTTTTGATTATACAGCTCGAATGACTTAAATCATCAGTACAGAGCTAATAAAATACAATATCATCGAACGAAAATCAATTTACCATAAAAAAATAATTGGGAATACGAGGCATTGATACACGAATACTTGAGTACTTGTTTTTATTCTGCTATCAAAATGATAAGGAACTTCTTAGGAAAGATTTTTTTCATCATATTGTAAACACGTTTAATATTGCTTTTCAACCAAATTATCGGACTAAACTAAAAATTGTTTTAAAACAATGTTCGGTATCGCAATATGCTGATTGAACTACTTAATCTACATGGTTGGATGGACACCAGAATATTTATATGCATCTTATCGCATTCTAGAATTATTCACTGAATGTTCTGGTCTATGAAAAATAGATAATACAAGGTGGTATGAATTGAGAAACATCAATATAGAAAAGATACAATATTTGTAAAGTTGGGATTGGAGTGAGGTTATAACAAGTTTTCATTACTAAGTTTTACATATCCGGTTAATTAAAAAGAAATGTAAAATCTCAATGATGTACCTAAATATAGAAAGGTTTATAGAACAATGGAGACCTCGTCAAATCAATACTTTTTTCTAATTGGAACACATCAAAAGCTTTCAAATTACACGGGTTTGAACGTTTTTGTCGAAGGTAAATCTAGAAAAGCGATTCGGGTGCAGCAAATTTATAAAATTTTCTTTTCATTTACAATAATTAATGTAATAATTAAAAGTCTTATGAAAATAAGCCCAACCACTTATTAATAACATAACAAATACAAACACTGTATTATTTAACTGATTTGTTTATATTCTTTATTTTGGATGCTAGACATGACAAAATCAAAAGAAAACCAATGTCTTAAGCATAATAATTCGTTGGAATTTATATGTCGGATAAAAACAATATATAAAAGGATTTAGATTAACATGAAAAAACATAAGGTAAATTTCGAACAAACTAATATTTTAGTCAAAGTAATGTGATAAACACTTGTCCGTCATATGGATTCTATTTACTTGGATCACGACTTGAACTATCTTAAAAGGGAGAAAACGCAAATGTTTTATGAGTGCATATTGTGTACTAAACATGACAAAAATAGTACAATTTGTGGTGTATGGGAGGCAACTCTTGATAACCATTTCATATGAAAAGCTTAGGTTTCATAGAAAAAATGTGCAGAGTAACGGACGAAGATATAAAAAAAAATGTTTTTTTTTGCATTTTGAGGATTGAGTTTTCGCAAACTTGTTTAATCCCGCCACATTCTGTACGTGCCTGCCCTCGTATGGAGCCTATTATTCAATGATTATCGGGTTTTTTTTTTGTTTTATATCATATATATTTGTTTTTCGTTTATAGTTTTGAAAATATATTAGGACGCTGGTTTTCTCACTTGAATTGTTTTTAATTTTGTCATGTCAAGGCCTCTTATAGTTTACTATATGATTTGGACTAAGCTCATTGTTAAAGGTCATACGATGAACTTTAGTTGCTGAAATCTACGTCATGTGGTTTCTAATTGATACTTGTTTTATCGCTTTTCATACCACATCTTCTTAATTTTATTTAAAGAAGAAACGAGAAAAAAAAAACTTTTAACAGTTCAATTTATTTCGAATAGGTAAGGTTATATTATAAAGCACTTCAAAACACAGCTAGAAATAATATGATGTTCAATATTTATATGATATAAAGGATCGATATAACAATCTTCATAAAATTTGAAATAAAAGGCGATGTCATTTGAGCTCCCACAAAAAAAGCGAGGAATGAAATATCTTGTAATAAAGTGAAAGGAATTATAACACAGAGAAGATTCAATGTTTTAAATTAGTGTTTTATTATGAAAAAAGCAATTTAAGTAACACATTCACGAAAAAAATGCAACCCTATTACATAAAAAATCCAGAAAAATACATGTACTGGTCACTATACAGTCTTATATAATATACAAGTGTGTTTACCTTATGCCAACCTCTTATTCGCCGAAAATGTGTGCTTAATATTGCACAAACCTACTTTCCAGATATCTTTGAACACACAGAAATTTTGAAATAATTAACTAAGCAGAAAGAATTGTAATAGTATATCAGCTAATATAAAAAAAACAGTATTTTTCTTCAACTATGTCAAAACTAATCATTGATAGTATGAAAGATAAGGTAATATATATATATGATGCTCCTTGTCCATTATAAATTTCTTAACAAATCGAAGCACATTTCGTTCTTTTACTGCTTCTTTTAAAAGATAACGAAAAACGTTTCTTGATAGTCTTGAAAAGTGTTCATTGATTAACAGATGATCTACTGAAAAGTGCTCTTTTTCTAAATGCCTTAAAATATTATGTTGCACATCTACATTGAAATTGTAATGCAAAATCATGGCCAATTAAATTTGAAATAAAAGTGGTTCAAATTCATCTACATTTCTGTTTCTCTTTAGCAACTTTACTTGTAACATTTGGCTGAAGTAAACATCAATATCAAAACTGCTTAGTTTTGTAAGAGGTTGCTTACTTTTGCAAAAAGTAATTGATGCTGATTGGTAGATTTTTGTACACAGTAATTTTGTCCTTGATACTAATAGCTATAACTAATATATTGTTGGCGGGGATTGTCAGATTTCCTGCCGAAGGTCGGTGGTTCCTCGGGCACTCCGTGGGCATAAACCAATAAAAACTGATCGCCGCTAAATAAATACTTTAGTGGCCAAAAGTGCTGAACCGAAAATTGCGTCAAACACCAACAATTCATCAATCATCTTTATATTACAATGCATGTATATGTAACTATTCAGGAAGTGTATGTATTGCTAGAATTACCATCTAAAAAATTAATGTAAGTAAATTGTAATTCCAACAGTCTCAATTTATGTACAAGAATAACGTAGTTTGATAGGATTAAATACCTTAACCAGACATAAAGCACATTTCAGTGGCTAGCTTATAATAATTTTAACTTCCTCAGTCAAAGCCAGGTGCAGTATAAGCAACCAAGAAAACATATAAATATTGAAATATTGAAATATCAAAGTTTCGCTCCAAAACCATGAATGACCTGTGAATTTTGTCCTTAAACATTTTTGTACTTTTAAACTTTGGGTTTTTCAACCTAATATTGACTATATACAAATTGTTTTAACACAGAACAGCTAACAAAGCTATGTTTTGCAGATGGCGGTATTTTGGGCAACTGCATGGTTGTTATAATTGGCTGTTTAATCAACAAGAAGCGTAATTGCAGTAATCCAATTATGTCAAAAACATCCTTAGCACTAAATAAAGTATGTTATTTGGTTTTATGGTGAATAACAGTTTAATCACACACAGAGATTTTGGTTTTCATGCATTTTTGTCATTTTCAATGGAATTTCTGGAAAACGGCGCTATTTATTAAAAATCCGACATTAATATTTCAAAGTTATTTTGATAAGTCACTATCAACATCTGTTTTAACAGATTTCCATATGTCCATACAAAATATTATTATTCAGAAGACAGAATATTCAAAAATACTGACATCTTGTAAAATTAGAAGTTATCTGTCCTTGAGCTTTCGTTGTGATTTGACGGAAACTGCACCATACGAACTTTTTGACGACCGGGCAAAAAAGATAGTACAGATGTTGTGCTTTCGAATGGTATACGATTTAGCCGTATGTTAGGTGGGTGCATTAAAATAAAATTTTATGGTTAATGTCACTCGTCTAT